CATTGTTTTTACCGGATCGCCGTGCGAGCCTCCCCGAGTAACGAGCTATGTAAACGCATCTTTATGTTTCATGCATACCGTGCCATTCCATCGCTCTTTTTCAGTTTCCGTTGCTTTTTGCAAATTTCGCAAGTTTCGCATTCGTTTCCTGTCACAACGTCATTAAATATGAGGAAATCAATTTTTTAGTTTTTTTAAATTTTTAGTTAATTTACTGATCATTAGCTGTTTAATATGTTGATTGCGACAGTGAAAAATGAGTATTTCTTGGAAAACATATCAAAATTCTAATTATTAAGAATGGAAATAGTTACTGGATTTAGAATTTTAGAATTTCAAAAGCTTAGAAATTTAGATTTTAGAATTTTAGTATTTTGGAATCTTAGAATTTTAGATGAAGGTTGGAATTTTACAATTTTAGACCCTTGAAATCTAAAAGCTTTGGGTGTTATTTGATAATTTTTGAATTTTATTTCCCAAATTTTTGGAAGGAACCCATCCTGGCCCCTATCTAGTTACACACCTGAGAATAGTCAATTTCAAATTGCCATATCTCCATTTTTGGTTCCCAAATTTTCATCTAGCTAATTTCAAAATCATTTTAAATTCGTGAAATTCGCAGTGTCCCGCGTACCGTTAATCTCGAGTTAGCCGGGACGAATTTGATCAGACATCAGTGATCCCTGAAGCCGTCTTACTAAGCTCGGCAACGAACGATTATATGCCCGGTAACGGTACAAAGTGCAGCGCACATGGTGCATTTACGATAACCGAGCGAGGCCGTGGTGCAGTGCCTTCGTAGATGCCTATCCAGGTAGAGATAGAGCCAAGACTTTGTGACCTGGAACGGAACGACGCTTTTGTGCATATATGCACCTATGCATGTACAATATACGCGTGCCATTCTATATGTACATACACATGTGTATCCGCATATGCACGCTGTGCAATGCATCTCAAGTATGTCTAACATGGTTACGAATAGATCGTAGGCTAACTACAGGTGGTCAGAAAAATTATGCTTGGAGAAATTTTAGGATTAAGGGGTGGTAATGAGGTTTTAAGGAGTACTTTACATTACTAGGAGTTTGTCCTTAATTAATTTATTAATCCTTGGAATATTTGATAGATAGATAGATAGACATATTCTCAAACATAAATTTCTCAACTTATTTCATTTTACATGATGTGTTTATAATGACAATCATCGTCTTTGTTAAATTATTTGTCAAAATCAATTTTTGTACACATAATACAAAATTAAATTACCATTGGGGGTTCTCTCCATGGTCCGCCACCCGAGGGTTAATAATAAGCTCTCAAATTGATTTAGAAAAAGCAATATCTCAACTAGATATCTTAACTAGAAATGATCTTAAGATGTCAAGGAATACCTAGCCGGATACAATACAAACATAATCATGTATCCAGTGCACGGTAGATGGGATTACGTGAAGAAGAAAAATTCTAGAAGGAAGGTGTCCATGGTGGACGAACACAGCTTCCGTTTCTTTAATGCCATGATATTATTGCCACGGTATTAAATTAACACTTTTAATTGTTTAACCCTTGGACGACGGACCATGGAGAGAGCCTCAATTTGAATTAAATTTTGTATTTCATATTATTTTCATTTTCTAAATTTTACACTGGTACTCTTCCAATATATGAAACTCTCTCGTTTAAAAATTATATATTTAATTGAACGTGTAATTATTGGTATAATTACAGAGTTTTTTAATAAAAAAAAGGATCAAGTTGCAAGTTCATATTTTAATGAACAGGATTCATAATTACATTTGACGAACTTATCCTGTTTACATTTTTATTTATTCACACCGTGAAAATGTTACGAAATCTCCGTCATTTTTAGCCATACCTAAACGAGTCAAAGACTTCCGTGTTCGAAACCTATTCTATCCTGTACCAACGTCTAATAAAGCTGGTATGCGTTTAGGGTGGAGCAGCTAGGATATCGTGTACCCGGGTGCATTGCGTTTTCATTTTTGTCAATCATTCTCGTTGAACGTGTCCTGTCAACTGCTTATCGTGACACGATAGTTAAACAGGACATCATGCGAATAGAGGCAAAATCCACGGTAACGTTTACTGATTATCAATAGCGAAGGAATGGAATCCTGTACAGTTATGTACATTAATATTCTGGTGTCGTGCCATTTCTACATATCCTTATTTCGTATAAAAAAAGATTATTTAAATATCGTGTCACAACAGTACTGTGGAACTGTAAAATTTAATATAATTCAAGAACTGAAGGAAGGTAAAGAAAATTTTTAGTTGTATTAATAGTATATTAACTTCTTACGGTGTCAAGTGGAAAATTTGAATTAAAAAAATGGATCTTCAGGCGTAATTTTGACGATATCAATATTAAAAATGATTTATAATTTTTAATTATTAGATATTATAAAATTTAGTATATAATTAAGAAGTGGTTAATTTTTTTAACTTTAGAAATATAAAACATTTGTAAAATATTATTGTTAAACAATAATTAACGCGTGCAATATTTCATTAGATGGTCAGTGGTAGAATTTCTGTCTCTAACAAAATCGCATTTGCAAGTCAGTGGTACCGTACAGGTGAACTGCGCTTCTCGTTGAACGTGAACTTCCGGTGACACGAGTCGTTGAATTCCTCTCCGCGAAATCCTCTAGGTTCATGCGAGTTGTAAATTACACGTTGCTGTATATCCTTTTGCTTCTTCCAGTTCCATGACGGTCAAATGCAAAATACACACCCCGTTCACTACTTGCCATTTGAAAATATTTCTCAGCATGCTTACGACATTCTTTCGTGTACAGGTTGCTATAGAAATGCAAATTTCTCGCGACGAGTTTCGTTCTTCTGCATTCTCGACTCATGAAATCGTACGACAAAAGCTTCTTCTTTGGTGAACACTTTGGTGAAAAAATGATACATTTTTAAATATTTAATAATCATACTCTACATTTGCAGTATTATATAATTTTTCTTTAAATATATTTTTAAAATAAATAATTTTCCTTTGAACACATTAAAAAAAGACAGAAAAATTTGTTTCTATTATTAAAAAACTTTTTGAAATTAAGAAAAATTATTTAATTATTATAATTGAATTGCTTTATCATTTTTTTCATAATATCTATTAAATGCATCTTGTTTACTTTTGTAAAGATTGCAAACACAATGTACGAGACGTTATCGGTGTTTGAATATAATTGTTTTAACATTCTAACATTCTTACGAATCGTGGACACGGAATTCTCGTGTCTCTTCCGTTGGCTAATTTTTCATGTCTTCACGATGCATACTCAGAAATCGGAGAGCGCAACTCGGTCGAATGAATCGAGCGTCCTCGATTTTAGTTTCCCGTAGATGCTTCAATAGCGATCATTATCGTGAGCATAAAACTGTATCGTCAAGCAATTGATATTACATTCGCAATGAAATTATAGTTTTTCTCGTTTTGTAAGGAGCACAAAGTGTAGAAAACCTCCATTTAAACAACTGTACTTTTATTACCTATGATTATTCATTATTTCTATTATTTGATTGCTCAATCGGTGAAAAAAGTGGAACATTTAGAGGAAAATTTAAATTTAAACTTGTTTCTATACCATCTTTGTCACTTTATTTTAAATAATTTAATTATCGTATGGACAGAAAATTTTTGCGCCCATAGTTATGTTTTTGGCCGCTATGTTGCTTAAATAAGCGTATAATAATTTGATATAAAGTTTAGTGAATGAAAGAAATTATAGTAGTTCAAAATAATGTACTATAATGATTCTGTCTGAAACACGCATGTCAGTTCATCGCCCTCAAAGGGTTAAATGAGCAAGAAAAAAAAAATGAAGTTTAATTACAGTAAGCATAACAATTGAAACGTTCCTAGATATACGATAACATAATTGCCTCACGCTGAGGTCATCGCCACATGTCTATCTGGAAATACAATGTTTTTTTAACGGAAACGCAGGTGATCGTAGACGTTTGCATTGTCGTGGCTTTGGATACTATAGAAATGCACTAGCCAAGTACACGCGTGGTACGAATTACCTATATTCTCTTCCACTGAATCGAATCCCACGTTTCTAATCCCATTAAAGTCGTATCCAATTACGTCGATATCATACTTCCTTATGAATCTTCTCCTTCTTCTCTGTTTGGATTCAACAACCACTATTTCTTGCCAAAGTTTACCGTTTTCGGTTTTATCATTTCAACGTATAAGTGACTGTAAATTGGATATCTACAAGTGTACAATAATAAGCTGTAAATTGACTAATATATTGTTTATTCTAAGGAAGAACTAGCCAGTTTGTAATAAGGATATTAAAGGAATATTCGTGTGGTCATCTTCATCAAACATTAAGCTGGAAATTGATGTACCATAAGTGTTATTTTCTGGTACTTTTATGTCATCAAATCTTATTAGACTTTCTATACCGATTCGAAACTCATTATTTGATGTGCTGGAATCTAATAACTCCTTCGAAGAAAGTTATTTAACAGCTGCGTTCAAGAAATTATCGCAAACGAAAACAAAGTTTTGTGTCGCGTTTTCGAGATACTCGGACAACGGTTGACCTAAATACACCTTTTAACGCTCGCTTAGCACAGTCATTTATAGCAATTATCGCGTCGTCCAACAGTAAATTAGGTGTCTTCCAAAGAAGGAATTGAATTTTTACGTCTGAGCGTTAAAAGTAAGGGTACATACCTATGTATGTAGAAGTCGTAGAAGGAAAACCTGATAGTGCAAATAATATTTGGAAATTTAGGTTCAAAATCTGAAAATATTATAAAATAATTTATTTCATTGATTCGGTGGGTCATAATTTCCAAAATTTTGAAACTAATATATTTTCTAGATTTCTGAAAATTCTATTCTCAAATTTTTTTAAATTCCTACTTTTATATTCTCTGAATTTCTAAAATTTTTATCTTTAACTTTCGATAATCTCAAAAATTTGAAAATAGAAATATAATGTAAATGTACTATAATTTCACACCTTCAAATTAATCACTTTTTATTGATAAAACGATAGAAGAGTCTAAAATAATGATAACTTCCAAAAGTACCTCATTGTCAGTTTTCCAATATTCAAAAATTTTGTTTCGTGCTGTTTTTCTTGAATTTCAAGTGTCCATTTGGAAAGTAACGGACCGTAGGTCAGAGGATTAACCTGGTCGGTAATATGCATAATTTTCCAGTTTCTTTCACGCCAATTTAAGCTGACGATTTTTCCTAGAATCGCTGATCAATTTCGTTCGCGATTTCAAGCGAATCGAGATCAATCCATCGAAATGAGATCCTTCCGATCGTTACATCGATTTTTCTCGTATTCCTCGATTATATCGTCGGTTTCCTAGTTTCGCTTCGATATGTAGGATCGAGGAATCGATTGTCGCTAGCGAGTGAGCGGCTCACAAAAATGCGTTTGACACACTGCCTTGAATTCCTGGCCGAGTGTCCGTTTTGGGAATTCAGTATTCTTTCAACTTATTCATTTTTTTTCTCTCGTGAATCTGACAAGTGTTTTATGAGAAATTTTTGTTTGAATGTATTTTATGTTTACAATGGTTGCATTAGTAGTGAGGTCATTAGGGACTACGGTATTAATGAGGGGCCAGTCGAAAAGAGTCGTTTTATTTAAAAAAAAGAAAAGGCAAGTTGAATAAATAAAACAAAATAAAATTACAAAGCTTTTATAATAAATAAAAGTTAATGAAATAATACCTTTTTTTAAGTATCCAATATCTACTAGCATTTTTCTCTATAAATGTTCTATTTTGTAAAATGTAGAACAGAATCCTGTTTATTTCAATAATGATACATCTGTGTGTTCTAAAACGATAAAAACAGTTATTGTAGAGTAAACAATGGACAGATTTGATTAGCATCTATGAAAACTTTCGGATATTATCAGTGAATCAAGAAATCGAAAGCTACAACAATCATCTATAGATAGAAACTGAGAAGATTGGCTTGGGTGCACTACTACAATACTATGGTCGAAAGGTTAAGTGACCATTGGTAATTCTATTGTAGGGAGCTCAGAGAATTTCTTATGAGTGAGAGTTGCTGAGAAGCAAGGAGTTATCATTTTTATAAGATCAGTTTGGACAATCACTGACTGTATGATCATTAAATCTCTTAAAATCAACATTTCTTCTTCTAGTCACAATATTTATACTATTACACTATTTTATCTTTCATAGTAGAAATATTATAGAATTTTACAATTTAACAAGCAGGAACACTATTCTAAGGAGAAAACTATGCGTTGTCAGTTATATTGAATAGAAACTACAGAACACATACAGTGCGTCGCTTATTAGATTACATAAGTAACGTAAGATGCAGGCGATGCATCGTCAGACTGCATAAGTAATATAAGATACGTGCAATGCATCATTGATTACAGTGTATAGGTAACATTTGACGCATGTGGTGCGTCATTGGGTATATTGCATAGCACCGCAAAGATAGCATAGAACGTCCATACTGCATCATGAGTTATATTCCAGTAACACTGTATAAATTATAGGACGCATATGTTGCGTCATGGGTTATATGGCATAGCATTGCGTAGGTGGTATAGGATGCATACGATGGGTCATCGATTATATTGAATAGCAAGTACTTATATGCTATGCAATACGTACAATGCATTGTTAATCACATTGAATAGATAATATCAGATGCACGTTGTACGTCATTGGTTTATATTCTGTGTATACTATACAGTGTACAGGATTCCACAGGACATTTACGTGGGAAAATTTGATTTAATATTTAAATAATTAAAAATTATATAATTTTTTTTTCTAAATTACTATTAGTATTAATTGGGGAATTTTTGCTTCCCCAATATCACATTTTCGGTAAGGAAGCCTACTTTGATCGCGAGTATACGTGCTAGAATCATCGGTCCAAGGGGTTAAAATCTAGAACAGAATAAGCACAATTTTAACATACGAATAAATACTCGTGTGAAGGAGCGAAAGACTTGGCGAGTAATCATTGAAACCGTGGCAACAGATTTATTCATATAATCAGCTTCAGAATGAAATTCTCGTGTCGTTCTCACGCGGTGTTAGAGTCTCTTTAATTATACCAGTTATATTAGTTCTCTTTTTACCCGGTATCGCAATGCTCTGCAGGAGAGAACTTCCGGAAGCGCGTCCATTCCCAAAGCAACAACGACGCGTTGGAAAAAAAAAAAAAGAATAAAAAATATTCGGCAAAAAGATTCGAAAGAATGTTCCCGTCTAGTTGAGAGAAGTCGTCGTTTCCCGTGTTTATCGCATTCTCGTTTGGTACAAAGCACGGGACAACTTTTCCCTTAATTAAAATACGAGGAAAGTTGAAATGGTTTATTTCGCTGTGTCAACGGCAGCCTTTCGTGATTAGAGCACGGGAAAGTGTAGATCGTTTTTTTAACACTCTCAGTGCCACGCTAAAATCGTAGAAAATCTAAATTCTAATTAAGCTTTTTCAGTTGGACAAACTTTCAAGTGTTTAGCATAATTACTTCTAATTAGCTAATTATTTAAAAGAAACAACAGATATTTATAAAAATTTATATATTATTAAAAAATAATACAATACTTAAAGTGTTGAACATTGAAAAATAGGGTCAATTTGACCCATAGCAATTCTATTTCTTAATTTAAAGAATTAAAAAATTTCATATTATATTATTTAATGTAATCAATTTGCAGCAAGATGCAATGAAGGGTTAATATGTTAATTATTAGATGTACAAATTCATCTGATGAATTTAGTATTATGCCTTCTTAATTATTATATTAAATTTGAATAATCAATTTTTCAATTAACAATTTAAAAACGTGTATATATTAAACATATTTCACTCTTGTCAGAACAATATTCTGGATGAAATTCCATAATATTATGCTTTTATTCTATGGATACGCCATATAAAAGAGCGATCACTTGTTTTTACGTAAGACACATTGCACGTGAATCTGACAGGCATGAAAATGATCGGTGAGGCATGACGAAACGACACGAGACCACTGAAAAAGTGTATTTAATTGTGAGCACAAAACACAACAGCGAGAAGTGTCGAATAATCAAAGTGTCGAGCATTGAAAGAGGAAAAAGAATCGAACCCATTAGAGAGCAGTAGTAATTTACTTCCTGCCCGGAGAGAAATTTATGTTAATCGATCTCGAGCGATTGGCATTGATCGCTACACAACTGACCCGAGTTCGTGTAATTTTCGAAAGTCATAACACAACAGCTATAACTGTTGCTTTATCAAGTTTCTTCATTGTAGAGTTTCAGTTATTAATGGTATCGATGACGAGTGATTTATTATCAAAGAAAATGATGAAGTCAAGAAACAGGGCAAAAAGTGCTTCATTTTTATCTGGTTCCATTGACTAGCACTGACTTGCAATTTGTTGTGACTAGCTTAAGTGTTTGTACCCCTATTAATTATTAATCAGTCGTGCATGATAGTTTTTTGAAAGAAATGTTACGAGAATGTGTACTGCATTCACTAAGCTTTCATTATATTAATAGCATTTAAAAATTAGACCCTTTTTAACCCTTAAACAGCAGAATCTGGGTCAATCGAGACCCAAACTTACAAAACATGTACAAGGATATTAATTATTTATGAAATATCAGTCTTTCAAGATTAATATCATATTATTAATATAACATTAGTAAAAAAGTCCTATTAAACGTATCTCTAATAAGTGATCCAAACATTCTTCCTGCATTTATGATTATGTGAATATAAAATAAAATTCAGTAAAGCATACATATGTAAGTCCACTTCCGGTGCTGAGAACGGAAGTTACGGAGAACTGTCAGTGATCAGTGCAAACAGAGGAAACTCAATCGGCGAGAGTTTATCCATCGGTTGCTTTTTAACCACAACACTTTCCAGCCCTTCTCTGCTACTTGGATTTCAGACTAAAGGAACGAATAGTTGACCACGAAAATTCTTCAGCTCTACAATTGATATACATTGATAACTACACAAATATATTTCAGCAACATTATAATCATAATTAAAATAAGTACACTTTTTATTTTGAATGATCTAAAATTAGTTCAATAAAATTAAACAATAATTCATGATTCCTCAATATCAATTACATTTCTGTAATTGATTATTTAACATTATCGCGATAATTATAATCATTAATCAATTAATTATCATCGAGATAAATCAGTAATCATAAATCTTTTTTTCTTGTGATATCGTTTAGATGCGAATGGTGTGGTCTCAATTTCCCCTAGGGAAACCTATCTTCCTCGATACTGTACTTATAATACGATGATAGAATCTATCATTGCACTGATCAATGCGTAATCAATCATTATGTGCTCACACCGCCAATATTCAGCATAGAATTTTCTCCTGTAAAAATCTATGTCTTGTCTGTTGCCGGTACTGTTAGGGGTCAGGTGTCATTTCTCATGATATAGACGGATGTCAGTGACATATGGATACATCCCAATCAGTCCGTGTATTTATTGTGAGGGTGATTTGCGATTGCTTTGTGAAATGCAACTATTCTTGTAACGTATAGATACAATAATGTGTGATTCAATTTCAATACGAATGAATTTATACGGAACATCTATGCGTATAGTCATTTGTAGTAATAGATTATATGAATTTCTATTTCTAAAGAAGGAATTTATGATTTATGGTCGAAATTTTATAAATGGACAGAATCTTTTTTAATTAGAAACATTCGTATTTGATTAATTCGATCCAGTTTAATAAGTTAATTAACTAATTTCTTTCTAAGCTAATCAACTTTATATTTGTTTTTATATCATAAACTCGCGTCAGACTTTATACCAGCCGTTTAATACTGGATAACTTAGCAATAAATCATGTTTATCTAAATCTTTAGAGATCTATCTGCGTCTGTTGCACAACAAACATTATGGCAATAGGACTAACTAGTCCATCGTCACCAAAATCAAGTGGGAGTATTGTCGAGGTAGTTTGAAATAATTTTCTATCAAATAACACTGGTGATGCAATAAATTACTGTGACGGAAGTGAACGCTGCACTCGCTTGACTTCTGAACAACAGCCGTGAGTCATGCACCTTCCTGTGTGGGTAGCATTGAGCCTAGCGACTATTACAATATTTAAGAAAAAAAAAAAAAGAAAAGGTGAGAAAGAAGAAATGTGATTCTTAGATTCTGTTACCAATGGTCATTTCGAAATTGTCATGTGGGTGATCTGTGCAACGACAAAAGTTGAGAGAAACCATGATACCGATACTTTCTTAAACTGATACCTCCTTCAAACTCGTTGAACGTGATTACTGAATATGAAATGGAACATACGTTTATAAGTGTCCAGTTTCTTTCTCGTTTAGATTTTACGCAATAACAGCAATTACATACAACATTCATTACACGGTAACGTAATAGTTACATGTAAAAGATTGTTTTCTAGTGCGAAGTAACATACGGGTTAATAGAGCATACGAATTCTTCTAATTTATATTTCAAATCATAAATATTCATTGATATAAATGTTAACCCTCGGAATGCTTTCAGATCATTTCCATCATGATATAGTACCGAGCATGATAGAATTCCTTAGGGAAAATGATAGTGCAAAAGATCACCACTTACCATACACAAAAATATTCGAGCTTTCTTTCTATACGTTGCCATTATTCCGTAGTCGTCCCTAGGGGGAAAAGGCCCTATCAGTCGCCTATCAATGTTTACTTGGGAAAATTGTATTAGTTTTAAAACTTTGGAATTCGAATTTTGGAACCTTGAAGTTTCATTTATACACCAAATTTATATTAATTTTCTCTAAATTAATCTTAATAATAATATCTTCAAAAATGAGATCTTAGATAGGTCCCTTCCCTTATCTTTATTTTCCCTAAAGAAGTCCACCATTCTCAATACCACTTCCATACTTTCACACACTTCCAGACACTTCATCTTTCTCTCACGTTCCTTTCTGAAAAAGCGATAAACCTTCAAGATATTCAAATTGACCTTTCATACATATATTCCAAGAAAGAATTCTTCGAAAGGAAAGCATATTTCAACGTTTCAATAAGCGAAAGTGTATTCAAATTTTTATTGTAACAATTATACTAAATCTTTACAGATCGCCTCCGGATTAGGCATGTAGAATCATTTCTCATAGTTCTGACAGTTCTCAGGGTATATTCGCAATGAAAATAGGCAAAGCAAATGTGAACGCGTTGACCTAAGAGAGCATGCTTGACGTGAGAGCAAACAAAAGGCTATAATGGCGTGGATTGAAATTCTGTTGAATGGATGAAGAATGATCATTAACCTGCTGACTCGATGATAATGTTTACGAGCTATACTGTCGAACGAATGGAATCATGAAAGATCAGACGTAACTAACGCACTATCGATTCATGTTTAACAACGATCATTTAGCAGCGATGCAAATAAAATGACTCGCTTAAACGCATACCTAATTATCACGTCGAACCCTCCTATTTATACTTTCACTTACAAGAGGATCGTAAACGTGGATAGACATTCTTTTGTATTCTTAACTTGTTTTGCATTTCACGAGGCTTAAAATGCTTCCTTGTGAAGAACTCTTTCTTATTTTACGTACAATTTCATGATATGTATTAAGTTGTTGCATATTTAATGACCAGTAATTAGTCTTACACAATTTCATAACATAAATGTATTATAAAATAGCATTTATGTGAAGTTAATTTGATGCTTAAGATTTCATAGAAACGATTACATATTACTTCCGTTAACAGGTTAAATGAGATATATGTAATTGCAATTAATTAAAATATAAATGAATAATAATATTTAATCAAAGTTAGCATCATTCAATTAATTCTTTTTTTCGGCTTATTTTTGCGTATTGAATCACCCCCTGCCCGGTTATATTACGCGACCCCATTGATAATTAAAATTTGTAGATTGATTATAAAATATTTAATTATAAATCAGGATTCTTATTTTAAATTACAGAATTTATTAAAAATTGCTTTTGTTGATGTGTATTTTGATTTCCATTGAGATACAGAATTATTCTGTATATGTTGATACACGTTTCATTCTTTATCTAACAAATCTGGAGATATCCTTTATAATCCTTTTTCTGAAACATCCTGTGGACGGAAGGAGCCGTCCATCTCCATCACAGGTTTAACCAACAACTTTCCACAGAAGTAGATGACCCACCTTCGAAACGAAGTAATTTGTTCCTCACCGATGAACGACGATTAACATCGCCGGGAGGATTTAGGTGTGAACGTACTCGAACGAAACAATGAGGGACAATCAGGAAGAACCAGGAACACAATGTACACTTTCCAGAGGCTAGCCTCGAGCCGAGTCGTGATGGATCGAGACAAAGGGTGGCCTGTAACGTCCATTAGCTTCTTGGGTCTTTTTCGTTTTGCAATTAATGCTCGTGTCGTGAGAATTGATTTTTATTACACGATGACAAAAAAACCACGTAGCTATCATGGGGCCGTTTGCTATCGCTCGCAATTTCGAGGTCACCATCGTCACGACATTCTAATAGTCCGAGGAGAATAACTTTAACGAGTTAACGATCACGCTTGTCCCCATTTTTGCGACAGCGTTCAAGTATCCCCTGTAGAATGCAAATGATTACTTTTCGTGTTTTGTAAACGTGCGTGGTTGTCAGTTTACTAAGAAGACATGTGAAATACTGTTTTCAATACACGTCGGTGACGATTGGTGTTTTTTTATTACGACGATAGTCAGACACGGGGAAGTTTTATTTAATGAGGATACGAATAATTAATTTTGAAATTTAAGATTCTAAGATTTTACAGTTCCAATAATAAAAAATTCCAAAATTCTAGAATCCTAAGATTCTAAAGATCTAAAATTCCAAAAATAAAAAATTCCAAAATCCTAGGATCCTAAGATTTTAAAAATCCAAAATTTCGAAAAAAATCTTAGTAACGCCAATGACCACTTATTTTGACCTAGTATACTAAATCAAAATTCTTAAATATGTATAATCCTATTAATAGGCTCCTTTTAATATAAAAATTCCCCATAAAATTATAAGTCACACACCTCGCATTAAATATGCAGCTGTCAAAATATTAAGGACAATGGGTCGTTATAAAATTTACAGTCTAAAGTAAAACCCGATACAAAATATTTGCCTTCTGCAGTTTCTAACGATCACAGCAATAACGTTGTAAATAACGGTACATCTTGACCCTCCCTTCTTACCGAGCATCTGGTAGTCATACCAAAGACAAGACCGGACTAGATAAGAGGGCAGAGGTTTGTTATAGCCGAGGATCAATCATGCTGTAGGCACCGTTCTTAGCGGAATTATTATCGATGGGATTTGCTGATCCTCGGATTAGTCTAAACTCCTACAATCAGGATTAAAATTAGCCTGCGTTACAACCTTCTTGTAGGCGTTACAACAGATTTACCTATACCCCTAGGGTATCTCCGTCTTTATTTCCCGTTTACGGGCTGCAATGTTTATGACTGACGATCCGACGCTTTATTACTACGAGATCTTTAGAAAATACCGGTCAGAAAGGACATTAGGATCTAGAGACGTTGGTACATTACCGCTAACAAACCACTGTCATTCTTATTTCTACGGTCTTACTAGCGGGGATGAGGTCTTAACCTTATATGTACTTGGGTATCCTACTCTCATACTTATTCTCAGATGATGGGCTATTTTCATATATTGATATAATTTATGACAAATGCATTTATGACTCAAAGACTCTATAAAAATAGAATAACAAATGTTGGAGACAAATCACCGTCTTAAGTTTTTGGTCATTTTTATTATTTTATTGTTAGTAGTAGTGGTGTGAAATGATACGAGGAACTTATTGTTAGTCAAAAAGAAATTTATCTAAGAAACTTAGAAGTTAGATAAAATATATTCACCGTAAATATTTAAATCTTTTTGTTTGAAAAATTATTTAGCACTAGTTTGCACCTGTAGACACCTGGTCCTTTTCTCATAACTGTTGTTAATTTCCATCATGGGCATAGTCTTATTGTTAAGGTACCATTTGGTCGGGATATCCCATCTCATTGTCAGTTAGTCTGCAGATTGTAGAATAGGTGAGAAAAAGGACCAAAGGCAATTGAACCTAGATCTTTATAGATCTGTCACCGTTATCCACTGCTTTCATGACTACCTCTTGGCTATGGAGGTCCAGGTCCTACGCGACCATAGATGACCGTTTCTCCTCCTTCTAATTGCTCTGCAATAAAAATGTCCCTATAACGAAATTCGTCACTAAGAAAATGATATATGACAGTGCTCTTCATAAATGGGGCGCTTTATGTCCATTAGGCTTACACCTTTTCAGCCTCCCTTCGGTTATATGCAAACAAGTAATGAACATTTTATTATTTTATCAATTGAGACACTTAAAACCAAAGGTATGCAAGTGATATTTTTATCCATTTTTTAATAACATTATATTTAATAATTTAATATTTAACTAACCGTTTCAAAGGAATAGTAATGAGCTTGTCGATATTTAAAAACGGAGAAATTGTTTAAGACAAAGGTGGAAGCATTCTGTTCGTATAAGGAATTAACGAATTAGTGAAATCATTACAGAAAGAATCATTTGTATAATTATTATTTGGATTTTCCTTTCTAAAGCCTTTCTTTCGTTGTATTATTCAAATACACTATCGTTTTTGTTAATCTCCTTATATACAAAACAAACGCTCGTAATGCTTAATAAGGACTCTCTTTAAGGATTACTAGCGAAAGTACATACGTTCCTTTAAAAACAAAAATAACAGAAATTTTTAATATAAAAACGAATGTGTAAATTACCATCGTAAATTAAAATGTAAGATATTCTATACATCTAATATTTTTATTAGAAAACGGAACCCCCAAAAAAGAACCCTTAAATCCAACACTGAATCAAGGGGGGTTTAAGGGGAGCTACAGCCCATGGCCCTTTCCAAGGAAGCCCCTAAGCTTTTTATTTACTATGTCAGAAATTCCACCCTTTGGAATTTACTATAATTTTTTATATTTAAAGTTCAATTGCTAATGCAAAAATAAACTTAACCTGACCCTACTTAAATCAATCAATAATTCTATTGATACATATTTCAATTTCAATTAACCCTTCCACTGTGT